ACGCAAATGTGAATGTTGCCACGAGCAAGCTCGAATAGCATAGAGTCGTCTTGCAGCTGAAAAGTCAATCAGTGAGGATCTCTGCATAGAGGTCGCCTGGCTGTTGTTTCCTGGAGGCACCCCCTGTGCAAAGAACTCTTGTCTGTTTGACACAAGTATGAATGTTGCCACGAGCAACCTCGGATAGCACGGAGTAGCCTTGCAGCTGAAAAGTCAATCAGTGAGGGTCTCTGCATAGAGGTTGCCTGGAGGCACCCCCTGTGCAAAGAACTCTTGTCTGTTTGACGCAAGTATGAATGTTGCCATGAGCAAGCTCGGATAGCACGGAGTATAGTCGTCTTGCAGCTGAAAAGTCAATCAGCGAGGGTCTCTGCATAGCATGGAGTCGCCTTCCTCCCCAAAAGAAGGGAATTGGGGGGGGGGGGGAGACAGAGAAGGAAGAGAAAGGAGGCCCTAGAGAGGCCTTGGGAGGGAGGAGCCAGGAAGGCAAGAGGGAGCTCACCTGGGAGGCTGGGCTCACCTGGAGGAACTCTTACCTTGTGGCGCCCCCTTGTGCCCGGAAGGGGGAGGCGCAGGATGAGTGAGTGTCGCAAAAGCAAATTCTCCTTTCTCTTTATTATTACAAAATTATTGCTTTTTACAAATAGCTAAAAATAAAATCCCCCCCCCTTTAGTACAATAGTCAGCTTCGTAATTGTTGGGGGGGGGACCTCAATGACTATCCTAATCGTATCAATCGTACCAAGGGACCCCCAAATAAAAGCCCCCCCCCCCCAAAGCAGCACTTACGAAAGAAAGCAGGTGACAGAATGATAGACAGAGAGGGACCCCCAGGGGCCAGCCAGTCGGACCCCCTTCTTTCTTTCTTTCTTTCTTTCTTTCTCCCTCCTAAGGAGGAGGACACAGTGGAAGCTCTCCCGACAGATGGCCATCCAGCCTCTGCTTGAGAGCAAGCAGCATTGCAAGGGAGGCCTGAAACGTATCAGGGGAAAGGACTGCCAAAACCACCCAAGTTCTCCTTCCAGAGGAAAACTGACTGATGTCGCACCCCTGGGAGGGTCTCCATCCCCTTGCGGGACCCCCAGCCTCTTCGCCAGCAGCCCTGCTGCCAGGGTCCCGCTTCCGTCCCACTCCCACTGGAGTGTCGTTGTGTGGTTTCCAAGCCAAGGTGTTCTTGCAGCATTGTCTCTTGACGTTTCGCCTCCATTTGTGGCTCCTGGCATCCTCAGAGGATCTCATGGTAGCAAAGCCTGTGGAGTATATATGCCCAAGGTTGGGGGGGGGGGGGAGAAAGACACCCACAAGAAGCACGTGGAGAATGTCAACACAAAGGAAGAAACCATGCAAATGAACAGAATTTGGCCAAATTTGAAAGACGCCAGAATCAAGATAGTTACTAAAGAATGCCACCCGGGCACAGGATGTCTCCAGGTGAGAAGCAATCCCAGGCCAGTGAGCACCACCCAGGCTAAGGATGTCTCCAAAGCAACAAACAATGCAAAGGGAACAAAGGCCAGGCTACTTCAGCGATCAAAGGAAGGAAGAGATCTGTGATGAAGAGGAATGCCACCCAGACACAGGAAGTCTCCAGGCAGCAAGCAATCTCAGGCCAGTGAGCACCACCCAGGCTAAGGGTGTCTCCAAGGCAGCAAACAATGCAAAAGGAACAAAAGCCAGGCTACTTCGGAGAGCAAAGGAAGGAGGAAATCTGTGATCGAGGGCTCTTCATCATAGAGGATGGAGCGACAGCTCCCCCTGTGGTCAGAATCGAGCACAACCTCCAGCATGCCAAAGTTGGGGAAAATGCCAACTTATACCTTGTTGTCTGTCCTGTGTATGTGTTCTATGATCCGCCCGGAGTCCCCTTGGGGTGAGAAGGGCAGAATATAAACGCTGCAAATAAATAAATACTTCTATTATTATTGTTGCTGGGGCTAACAGCGGGAGCTCACCCTTCTCCCTGGATTTGAATCGCCAACCTTTTGGTCAGCAAGTTCAGCAGCTCAATGGTTTAACCTGCTATGCCATTGGGGGGCGGGGGTATTATTATTATTATTATTATTAGAAGGGCGGAATATAAACGCTGCAAATAAATAAATACTTCTATTATTATTGTTGCTGGGGCTAACAGCAGGAGCTCACCCTTCTCCCTGGATTTGAATCGCCAACCTTTTGGTCAGCAAGTTCAGCAGCTCAGTGACCCTCCAAGGTCATGTGGCCCCTGGCATGACTGCATGGAGGGCCCTTACTTTCCCACCAGAGCGGTACCTATTGATCTACTCACATTTGCATGTTTTCGAACTGCTAGGTTGGCAGAAGCTGGGGCTAACAGTGGGAGCTCACCCTGCTCACCAACCTTTTGGTCAGCAAGTTCAGCAGCTCAGTGGTTTAACCCGCTGTGCCATTGGAGGGGGGCTATTATTATTATTATTATTATTATTATTATTATTATTATGATGTCTCAAGGTTGCAAGCAATCAGGGACCAGTGAGCGCCACCCAGGCTAAGGATGTCTGCAAGGCAGCAAACAATTCAGAGGGAACAAAAGCCAGGCTACTACTACTATTATTCAAAAGGTAAAGGTTTCCTCCTGACATTAAGTCTAGTCAGACTTTTTTTTTTGGGGGGGGGGGTGCTCATCTCCATTTCTAAGCTGAAGAACCAGTGTTGTCCATAGATACCTCCAAAGTCAAGTGGACACTGACATGACTGCATAGAGTGCCATTATCTTCCCGCTACGCAGTACCTATTGATCTACTCACATTTGCATGTTTTCGAACTGCTAGGTTGGCAGAAGCTGAGACTAACAGTGGGAGCTCACCCTGCTCCCCGGATTTGAACAACCGACCTTTTGATCAGTAAGTTCAGCAGCTTAGTGGTTTAACCTGCTGTGCCATTGGGGATACCTATTGTTATTGTATTGTTGAAGGCATTCACTGGGTTGTTGTAAGGTTTTGCAGGCTATATGGCCATGTTCTAGAGGCATTCTCTCCTGACGTTTCACCTGCATCTATGGCAAGCATCCTCAGAGACCTCAGGCCCCTTCCTTTTCCCCCTCCGCCGCCACAGATGCAGGCGAAACATCAGGAGAGAATGCCTCTAGAACATGGCCATATAACCTGAAAACCCCTACAACAACCTATTATTATTATTATTATTATTATTATTATTATTATTACTATGTCTCAAGGTTGCAAGCAATCAAGGGCTTGTGAGCGCCACCCAGGCTAAAGATGTCTGCAAGGCAGCAAGCAATGCAAAGGAAATAATTATTATTACTGGATGCCACCCAGGCTAAGGATGTCTCCAAAGAGGAAACATGGTTTCTTCCTTTCTGTTGCCAATTGCATACATGCTCCTTGTGGATGTATTTCTTTCCTCCCACCTTGAGCATATAGAATCCAAGAGTTGTAAGAGACCTCCTGGGCCTTCATCCAGTCCAACCCCATTCTGCCAAGAAGCAGGAATATTGCATACAAATCACCCCTGACAGATGGCCATCCAGCCTCTGTTTCAAAGCCTCCAAAGAAGGAGCCTCCACCACACTCCCTCCGGGGCAGAGAGTTCCACTGCTGAACGGCTCTCTCAGTCAGGAAGTTCTTCCTAATGCTCAGATATATATATTACTAGCTGTTCCCTGCCAGGCGTTGCTGTGGCCCATTCTGTTGATCTGGAAAATAAAGTAATGAAAAAGTGTTGGTTTCTAATCTATGCAATTTCTTTCTGCTTGTGAGTAAACAGTATTTCTTGCTGTTTCTTTGACAGTGTTGATGTGGAGAGTGTCTGGTTTGCCTAGTCTGGAACAGGCAACATATAGTTTTCCTTCTTCAGGGGTCCCTTTCAAATCTATGATACTATATCTCTCTCTGTGTGTGAATCATATCTATCTCTATCTCTGGCTGGATGGCTCTTTGTCAGGAGGGCTTTGATTACATTTTCTTGCCCTGGTGAAGGGAATTGGACTGGATAGCCTTGAGTATTTTTTGTTGGTCATGGGGGTTCTTTGTGGGAAGTTTGGCCCAATTCTGTCGTTGGTCTGGTTCAGAACGCCCTTTGATTGTAGGTGAACTATAAATCCCAGTAACCACAACTCCCAAATGTCAAGGTCTATTTCCCCCAAACTCTACCTGTGCTTCTAGTTGGGCATAGGGAATATTCGTGCCAAGTTTGGTCCAGATCCATCATTGTTTGAGTCCACAGTGCTCTCTGGATGGAGGTGAACTACAACTCCTAAATTCAAGGTCAATGCCCACCAAACACTTCCAGGATTTTCTGTTGGTCAGGGGAGTCCTGTGTGCCACGTTTGGTTCAATTCCATTGTTGGTGGGGTTCAGAATGCTCTTCGATTATAGGTGAACTATAAATCCCAGTAACTACAACTCCCAAATGCAAAGGTCTATTTCCCCCAAACTCCATCTGTATTCATATTTGGGCATATGGAATATTTGTGCCAAGGTTCTTGTGGGTTTTTTCGGGCTATAGAGCCATGTTCTAGAGGCATTTCTCCTGACGTATTTGGTCCAGATCCATCATTTTTTGAGTCCATGGTAGTCTCTGGATATAGGTGAACTACAACTCCCAAACTCAAGGTCAATGCCCACCAAACACTTCCAGTATTTTCTGTTGGTCATGGGAGTCCTGTGGTTCAATTCCATTGTTGGTGGGGTTCAGAATGCTCTTTGATTATAGGTGAACTATAAATCCCAGCAACTACAACTCCCAAATGACAAAATCATAATTTTTTGAGTGATGGTCACTCCTTGTGTTGTGAGATGTTTTGTTGCCAAATTTGGTGTGATTTTGTTCATTGGTCTTTTGTGTTTAAGGTACTCATTATGCACAGAGCATTTATATATATATACATACTAGGCTTGGGCAATCCATGGTTCTAAATGGTTCTAAAGTACTTACAAAACTAAAGTTCTGGTGGTGAAAATTTCAGAACTCTAACAAAACTTTCAAAATTTAATTATTATTTCATTATTGGTGATTTTAATGACAGAACCAATTAGGAACTGCCATTTATTATGAAATTTTGAGAGTTTTGTTAGAGTTCTGAAATTTTCACCACCAGAACTTTAGTTTTGTAAGTACTTTAGAACCATTTAGAACCATGGATTGCCCAAGCCTAATAGATCTATCCTCCACTTGCTTGACTCGCATCAGATCCTCTGCAGATGCCACTGGCCTCAGATGGAGGGGAAATGTCAGGAGCAAATGCTGCGAGAGCACAGCCCGCAAACCACACAATTCTCCAGTTCTTCTGGCTGTGCAAGAAAGCCTTCGGCCACACCTGGCAGTGTAAAGGTTGGCTAGGCGGGGCCGGGGCGGGTGGCGTTCGGCCGGGCGGCAAGGGGGGGGAACTGCTTGGCGTCCAGCAGGTCCTTGTACTGGAGTTCGGGGGTGACCAGTCGGCGGCAGCGCTGGGTCCAGGGGGGCCGGAGTCCGGGGCGCAGGGCGTACCCCAGGATGGGGGCCTGGCCGAACTGGAAGGGCCGGGCGGCCTGGTCGGGGATGTGGGTGGGCTCCAGGGGGCCCCCTCCCCGCAGGCAGCGCCCCTCCAGCTCCGCCCGCAGCGCCCGCAGCCGCCCCACCGCCCCCGCCATGCGCCCCCGCCCAAAGCGCTCCACGCGGGCCCAGAAGGAGGCGTTGAAGTGGGAGTAGAGCTGCCAGTCCAGGTGGTTCCAGGCGCGGAGCCGGGCCGCCTCCGAGGGGCTCAAGGGGGGGCCCAGGGCCCGCGGGCTGCGCAGGTTGTGCCGGAAGGCCACCACGTCCTCCAGGTCCCAGCACAGCGCCTCCGCCAGCAGCACCAGCGACTCGTCCAGGTGTTCCGTCACCAGCACCAGGTCGAAGGTGCGGTCCAGCCGGGCCAGGGCCTCGCGGATGGGGGCCGGGCCGGGAGCCGAGGGGGGGTCCAGGCCAAAGTCGAACCACAGCAGGTTGCGGGCGTAGTGGTTGCCGCGCTCGCCCGGGCGGAAGTAGCGCTGCGGGGCGGCCAGGAAGGCGGGCAGGGAGGGCGCGTGGCGGAAGGCGGAGGCCACCCCGCGGAAGTAGGAGAAGGCCGACTCCGCCAAGGAGACCGGGTCCCGCACCACCGAGAAGTAGAAGCTGTCCCCAGGAACCACCTTCCGCACCTGGACACGGAAGGGAGGGACAGAAGAGAACGCCAGTCAGGACTCAGGCACACCTGCCCAACAGGGGCATGGCACACAGGCCCTTGGGAAGAACCACACCAGAAGAGAGAAGGATAGAGGGATGGACGGATGGATGGATGGATGGAAAGATACATGGATGGATGGACAGATGGACGGATGGATGGATGGATGGATGGATGGATGGATGGATGGATGGATGGATGGATAGATACATGGATGGATGGATACATGGATGGATGGATGGATGGATGGATGGATGGATGGATGGATGGATGGATGGATGGATGGATGGATGGATGGATGGATGGATAGATACATGGATGGATGGATACATGGATGGATGGATGGATGGATAGATACATGGATGGATGGATACATGGATGGATGGATACATGGATGGATGGATGGATGGATGGATGGATGGATAGATACATGGTTGGATGGATGGATGCATAGATAGATAGATAGATAGATAGATAGATAGATAGATAGATAGATAGATAGATGGATGGATGGGTGGGTGGGTGGGTGGGTGGGTGGGTGGGTGGGTGGGTGGGTGGATGCATAGATAGATGGGTGGATGGATGGATGGATGGATGGATAGATACATGGATGGATGGATGGATAGATACATGGGTGGATAGATGGATGGATAGATACATGGATGGATGGATGGATGCATAGATAGATAGATAGATGGATGGATAGATAGATAGATAGATAGATAGATAGATAGATAGATAGATGGATGATGGATGGTTGATGGATGGATGGATGGATGGATATATAAGATGGATGGATGGATGGATGGATGGATGGATGGATGGATGGATACATAGATAGATAGATGGGATGGATGGATGGATGGATAGATACATGGTTGGATGGATGGATGCATAGATAGATAGATAGATAGATAGATAGATAGATAGATAGATAGATAGATAGATAGATAGATGAGTGAATGGATGGATAGATAGAAAGAAGGATGGATGAATGGATGGTCGGACGGACAGACAGAAAAAATAGGTGGGTGGGTTGATGGATAGAGATATGAGTAAATGGGTGGATGGATGGATACATAGAAGGATAGATAGAAGGGTAGATGAGTGAATGGGTGGATGGATGGATGGATGGATGGTAGGATGGAGATGGATATAGATAGATAGATAGATAGATAGATAGATAGATAGATATAGATGATGGATAGATAGATAGAGATAGATAGATAGATGAGATGGATGGATAGATGGATGGATGGATGGATGGATGGATAGATAATGGATAGATGGAGATGGGATGGATGGATGGATAGATAGATAGATGGATGGATGGATGGATGGATGGATGGATGGATGGATGGATGGATGGATAGATACATGGATGGATGGATAGATACATGGATGGATGGATGGATAGATAGACAGATACATACATACATACATACATACATACATACATAATAGACTGACAGATAGACAATAGATGAATCAAAACATAAGTGAAAGATAGATACATATAGACAGATGGAGGATAGATAGACAGACACAGACAGACAGGTCAATAGATAGATCGATAAGTGGATGGATGGATGGATTAGTAGATGCTAGAAAGATCTTTAGGTAGATGGACGCAGGTTCGCAGTTTGGGTGTGATCCTGGATTCATCGCTGAGCCTGGAACCCCAGGTTTCGGCGGTGACCAGGGGAGCATTCGCACAGTTAAAACTTGTGCGCCAACTGCGACCGTACCTTGGGAAGTCTGACTTGGCCACGGTAGTCCACGCTCTGGTTACATCCCGTCTTGACTACTGCAACGCTCTCTACTGTGGGGTTGCCTTTGAAGACAGCCCGGAAGCTCCAATTAGTCCAACGGGCGGCAGCCATGATTCTAACAGGAGCGGGGCGCAGGGAGCATACAACTCCTCTGCTGCACCAGCTCCACTGGCTGCCGATCTGCTACCGGGCTCAATTCAAAGTGCTGGCGTTGGCCTTTAAAGCCCTAAACGGTTCTGGCCCAACTTATCTATCCGAACGTATCTCAGCCTATCAGCCCACCAGGACCCTAAGATCTTCTGGAGAGTCCCTGCTCTCTATCCCGCCGGCTTCACAAGTGCGGCTGGCGGGAACGAGACAGGGCCTTTTCTGTGGTGGCCCCTCGGCTTTGGAACACCCTCCCTATAGAGGTACGATCAGCCCCCTCGCTGATGGTGTTTCGGAATAGATTGAAGACATGGATGTTTAAACAAGCATTCGGTTAATCCGTTGCAACGAATTTTGATGACTAAAGGATTGGTAATCATGGACGATGAATTTTGGACTGCGATTCCAGTTATGAGATGCATGGGATTATTATTGGTGGCCCAATAATTTGTATTGTATATGTGTTTTATGCTTTTAAACTGAATACTGTTTTTAAATGTTGTAAACCGCAATGAGTCGCCGACTTAGGCTGAGATATTAGCGGTATACAAGCGTATAAATAAATAAATAAATAATAAATGGATGGATAGATAAATAGATGAGTGGATGTATAGATAGATAGATAGATAAATGTTGTTGTTTATTCGTTCAGTTGCTTCCAACTCTTTGTGACCTCATGGACCAGGACACATCATCCACCATGATAGATGAATGGATGGATGGATAGATATAGATATAGATATAGATATAGATATAGATATAGATATAGATAGATAGATAGATAGATAGATAGATAGATAGATAGATAGATAGATGACTGGATGGATTAGTAGATAAGTGAGTCGGTAGGTCGACAGATAGGTAGATGGATGGATGATGGATAGAAAGAAAGGTCAATAGATAGATTAATGGAGAGATAGATGGATAGATGCAGTGTATAATAAAGCTATTCATGCTCTGAGCACTGCTTGCACCTGTGCCATTCTAAAGGATACCTCCGCCAGAGGGAAAGCCCATGTTCTCCGTGCATGTCCAGGTATACCATTTGCACCCATGCCATTCCACTGGCGTGGATTCCGGCCCTCCTGCCCTGACCCCCCCCCCCCAATCCCAATCCCAATCCTTTGCCCACTGACCTCGGGCAGGTTGAAGCGCATGTGGTGGCAGAGCAGGTCGAAGGGTCGCCCGCGGGGGTGCCACCCCTTGACCCTCCGGGCCTGGAAGGGGCTGGGGTAGCTGAACTGGTAGCGGGCGGGCAGGGCGAAGCGCAGGCCGCGCAGGTCCCCAAAGCGGTGCAGGATGTTGACCACCGTGCTGCTGCCCGTCTTGTGCGTCTTCAGGAAGACCACGTGCTGACGCGGCCGGCAAGTGGGGCTGGGGGAGGGGGGCAGCTGCTGCGGGAGGGGCTCCCTGCAGACACAAGCAGGAGAAAGAGAAGTTAATTAACACGTGTGCATGCTGGCTCATACGTGTGGCTAGCATCTCCCGAGGGACTCGATGCGGCTTACAAAGGCCGAGGCCTCAACACAACAACAGCAAACAATAACAATACAATTCAAAGCAAATTAAAAACATAAGCAATAACAAATATTACACCATTACACAATAAAACAAAAGGTCACAGGTTCGAATCCGGGGAGCGGCGTCAGCTTCTGCTGTCAGCCCCAGCTTCTGCCAACCTAGCAGTTTGAAAACATGCAAATGTGAGTAGATCAATAGGTACCGCTCCGGCAGGAAGGTAATGGTGCTCCATGCAGTCATGCCAGGGGCCACACGACCTTGGAGGTGTCTACAGACAAGGCCAGCTCTTTGGCCCTGAAATGGAGATGAGCACCAACCCTCCCCCCCCCACCCCACCAAGAGTCAGACAGGACTAGACTTAATGTCAGGGGAAACCTTTACCTTTACCTATTATATTACTATTTTATTATATTATTGTATTGTATTGTATTATTATAGTATTATAGTATTATTACTGGCTGTTAGGAATGGTGGGAGTCCAAAACTTCTGGAGGAGGGCCCAAGTTGGCCCAGGCCTGGCTTAGTAAGTGCAAAGGGATTGCAAAGGGGGGGGGGTGTTACCTCTTCTGGAAGGAGACCCCCAAAAGCTGCAGAGCGAAGCCGATGGTCATGGAGGCGGCCAGGGCGGCCCACAGCACCTGTGGATGGCGGCAGCAGCAGCAGCAGACGCCCAGGAGGGCCTTCATCCTGGAAAGAGGGAGGGAGGGAGGAGGGGAGGAATAAAAGAAGGAAGGAAGGGCGGGCGGAGGAAGGAAGGAAGGAAGGAAGGAGGGAGGGAGGGAGGGAGGGAGGGAGGGAAGAGGAGGAGGGAGGGGAGGGAGAAGGAAGGAAGGGAAGAGAAGGAAGGGGAGGAGAAGGAGGGAGGAGGGGGGAGGGAGGAGGGAGGGAGGGTAGGGAGGGAGGAGGGAGAAGGAAGGAAGGAGGGGAGGAGGGAGGAGGGAAGAAAGAGAAGAGGAAAGAGGGAGGAAGGAAGGGAAGGAAGGAAGGAAGGAGAGAAGGAAGGAAGGAAGGAGGAGGGAGGAGGAAGGAAAAGGAAGGAGGAGGAAGGAAGGGAGGGGGAGAGGGAAGGAGGAAGGAGGGAGGGGAAGGAAGGAAGGAAGGAAGGAAGGAAAGAAGGAGGAAGAAGGAAGAGAAGGAAGAGAAAGAAGGAAAAAGGAAGAGGGGAGAAAAGAGAAAAAAAAGAAAGAAGGAAGGAAGGAAGAAAGGAAGGAAAAAAGAAGGGAAGGAAAAGG